TTGGATAAGACATCACTAACCAACAGAAATAGATAAGGAGATAGCTAATCCCCTTGGTGTAAGCCCCGTGAGGGAGTAAACTTGTTAGCTGGTTGACCATTAAGAAGTACTACAAAATTGACCGAACAAACACATCACATAATCAACCTTCGCCACCGAGCATCAAACCCTAACTTCTCCATCACTGCATCAAGGAAATCCCACTCCACCCAATCATAGGCCTTATGCATGTCAAGCTTAATACCAAGCTCAAACTTACTCCGAGTTCTCCTAAGCTCGAGAAAGTAGAACAACTCATGAGCAATCCCAATATTATCTTGAATTTGTCGACCCCCAACAAATGCGTTTTGCATCGGAGAAATGAGATCTGGTAACAGCGGTCTTAATCTATTCGCCAAAATCTTATAAGAATAATTACGTAAGCTAATCGGTCAGAACTGTGAAATGGATTCTAGATTAGGAACTTTAGGAATTAACACTATATGAGTGCCATTAAGTCAACTAGGGGAACATCACCAGATTCCAACATTCGAACAAGGGCATGAACCTCCATCTTAATAGATTCCCAGAAAGATTGATAAAATATACCTTGAAAACTGTCAAGTCCCAGAGCCTTGAGGCTACCTATTTGCATAACTGCCGCATGAATTTCATCATTAGAAAAAGATGTCGTCAGAGACATGTTCATATCATCAGTAACTAAAGAAGGAACACAATCCAAAATTGCTCCTTAATCCCTATGTCCCATAGAGGAAAAAAGTGAGAGGAAATATTCATCGATTATCTTCTTAACCCTATGCGGTCGTTCCTCCTAAGTACCTGCATCGTTTTTGAGCTTCAGCACATGATTCCACCATCAGCGTTGCATTATAGATTGATGGAAGAACTTAGTATTAGCGTCACCCTCTCGAAGCCATTTCACTCGTGACCTCTGCTGCAAAAAACTTTCCTCTTGGGCCATCAATCGATCCACCAACTTTGTCTTTTCCTTTATCTCATCAACATGTACACCCCAATCTTTCTGTAATTCATCAAGCTTAGACATAAGTTCCATGATTTCCTGTGCCCTCCGTTTAAATGTGTGTTGACTCCATGTGATGAGTTAAGAGCGACACTCATTTAGATGTTTATGCCATCTTGTTAAGGCATCACCTCTACAAGGCTGAGACCAACAAATTTTTCACCAGCCATTGACACGCCTCTTCCTTAGCCCAAAAAGCTTGGAACCGAAATAATGGTCACCCTACACCTTGTTGGGAATCCCTCTGAATGATTAACGGGCAATGATTCGAACCCAACACAGTGACATGTGTGACGTGAGTATTTGACCAAGAAAATTGCCACAACTGAATTGAAAGTCCCAGATTTAACCTTTCTTCCACCAGCTCACCATGCCGTGTCCCACGCCAAGTAAATGCATGCCCATTAAAGTCAAGATCTATTAGTTCCACAAAGTTCATAAAATCTAACGGATACTGAGGCCGATTATACAAGACAGTCGATCCTCCAGACTTTTCCGAATCCCAAATAAACTTATTAAAATCTCCAGCACAAAACCAAGGAATGGTAGAGGGTCGTAAGTGTGAAGTCAACCACTCCCAAAATTCGGCTTTCTTTGATCGATAAGTTCTTCCATAAACCCCAGTCACCCGCATCCAACATACCTCCCCTACTGATCGGACTCGAGCATCAATAACATTTTTAGAAGATAGACAAATTTCAACTTCCAAATTCGCATCCCACTAAAGGCTCAAACCACCCAACTTACCAATTAGAGAAACATTGAACCCACACGGAAATCCTATTTTTTTTTGCACTCCATCAATTCGATGATCATGCATCTTAGTCTTTGAAAGAAAAATCATTGAGGGTCGAAATTTACGAATAAGCCTATGAAGGGTTCGAACCACCGTGTTCGACCCAAGGCCATGACAGTTCCAAAAGATATAACTCATGGTGACCTTACGGCTATTGTAGGCTAGCCGCCATCGCCTTCAGAAGACTGTCATTTCCGTCAGGCCAACAAAACAACTCTTTCCACCTCAGATTCCTAAACCAGCAACTCCCACATATCCTGATATTCCACTAGAAGATCATCTAACTCATCTTCCGCATAAATAACATGTTCGACCATTAAACATCGTTCTCTGAGAGTCATACTTCGCATTCTCTCAACCATTCTTCTCTTCTTCTCGACTCTACTTTCACTATCCTTGAACTTTTCTGTGGGGATGAAGTAAACTCCATACCTTCATCTTCAGCAGTTCTCTTTAAATAACCACCATCAATAGTAGCTTGTAAACCACTTACAACCGGGCTTTCCATTACACTCCCTTCCAGGATTTCCTTAATAGTAACTGTAGAAGGGTTGGGAACAATTACTGGAGAATCAAACCTGAATCCTCCCTGGATCTGTTGGGGAATAAAACCATTGGAGATATGTCCCTAAAAACTGGAATACACACCGGCCACCCCTGAACGAGATATCTTATGCCATATTTTGCATTTTCTAATTATTAGTTGAAGCCCATTTTCTGGGATCCCTATGCTAGAACTGGGTTCCTCTGCAGCTTGAGATGCTTGTTCATGATCCTGTCAACCTTGTTGAGAATCATCCCTCTTAGTACGTCTGACAGCACCCACAAATCTTCGTTATCCCAATCCAATAGTAAGAGCTCAATTGGGAGCCACAACATCCCGAACAGGAGCCGTTTTCGTCCACTCGCCATAACCAGCAGTACCACCGTTAGAAGGTTCAAACGAACACTTAGTATTCACATGACCAATTTGCCTACATCTGTAGCAAAAGTCTTGTAATCTTTCATATCGAAATTCCACCCATGTATCTGTGTCCTGCCCCCTAAATAGCCAACAACCAGCGACAATTAGATTAAGTGTATTGACGACAACCTTAGCTCGAAGAAAACCCTGTGCATATGAGGGATATTCCAATTCCACAAAGTCTCCCACTGCCTGTACAAGACGTCGGACATTGGTTTCAGATGTGAGTCCAAGAGGAATCCCCTGGATTTGAATCCAAAAAAGAACCAACTCCAACTGAACCTCTTCTAATGCAAATTCCTAAGGCTACCTTTTAACCGAAAAATTTTGATTCATTACAGCCCAAGGAACCTGACCCAAAATCTTATCCTCACCAACCTCATCAGGAACATTGCTAATATAAAGATTATCACGAACCCATTTTATTTCTAGCTCGCCAAGCTCTTTCCAGGCTGGACGAAGACTATTCCACACTCCCCATCTGTTCAATTGTCGGTTCACCAGTACCGCACCTACCAATTTGATCCTATGTTCCAAAAACGACAAATGTCACATCCCGGCCCAGGTGGGACCACTTCCCGGGCTCGACTCCACTACCGTAGCACAATATTGTCCGCTTTGGGCTCCATTCCCTCACGGTTTTATTTTTGGGAACTCACGAGCAACTTCCCAGTGGGCCACCCATCATGGGATTGCTCTAGCCCCCTTCTCGCTTAACTTCGGAGTTCCTACGGAACCCGAAGCCAGTGAGCTCCCAAAAGGTCTCGTGCTAGGTAGAGATAGGAATATACATTTAAGGATCACTCCTCTGGGCGATGTGGGATGTCACAATCCACCCCCCTTAGGGGCCTGACGTCCTCGTCGGCACACTCGCGACCAGGGTTAGGCTCTGATACCAAATTGTCACATCCCGGCTCAGGTGGGACCACTTCCCTGGCCCGACTCCACTACCGTAGCACGATATTGTCCGCTTTGGGCTCCATTCCCTCACAGTTTTGTTTTTGGGAACTCACGAACAACTTCCCAGTGGGTCACCCATCATGGGATTGCTCTAGCCCCCTTCTCGCTTAACTTCGGAGTTCCTACGGAACCTGAAGCCAGTGAGCTCCCAAAAGGCCTCGTGCTAGGTAGAGATAGGAATATACATTTAAGGATCACTCATCTGGGCGATGTGGGATGTCACAACAAATCCATTATCTAAGTGGACCACCAATTCCTCAACTTCCTGCTGTGCCATATAATCGTCGCTGTACCATTTCGTGTGTAACACTTGCACCGTTTCGTGTGTAATACTTGGGTAATAATAAAGTGGAAAGTCTGGAACGATTAATTTCTGAATTGGTAGATAGAACTTCCATGACTGCAGGAATTACTAAGGCAGTAGTTGGCATTTGCTCCCTACCGTAAGTGGGTTGACCCCACGCCCCAACTTGCCTCACAATCTTGATGAGGATCTGGAATTTAGTACAGGAGATTAGGCTATCTTCAATCGATGGCTGGCCAGAGGGCTCGTTTTAGCCCTCTGGCCCTCTAAGATATTAATATTTTAATGAACAGTACAGGGTCACATTTGCCTCCGTCTCCAACCGAGGGTCAAAGGGCCAGAGGGCTTGTTTTAGCCCTATTATAAAAAACCGTCTCCAACTGAGGGCCATAGGGCCAAACATAATTTATTATTTAAAAACTACAACTTAAATATTGTTTAAGTTTCATGTTGTTAAATGTTTTTTTTTAACAAATATGAAAAATTAGAAATGTTTTTAATAATTTCTTAAATGTTGTTAAAAACTACAAATTTTGTAAAATAAAAGTTATAGGAAAAAAATAGAATTTAAAAAAAATATGAAAAATAAAAGTTATAGGAAAAATTTCGAAAATAAAAAATAATAATAAAACTGTAAAAAAAAAAAAATTCAAATCATTCCTGTCAGTTTTAACCGACAAGATTTCCATTTTTTCTGCCCAGCCCGGGCTGGCTGCAGCCCTTTGGCCCTTTCAGATTCCGTAGGACCCTCTTAGATTTCATGAGCTCTTTGACCTAGCCCTCAGTTGGAGACGATTTTCAAACTATTTTCGATCCTCTAAACCCTTCGGTTGGAGATGACCTTAATAGCCTGAACAACCACGACCAAACCCTGGGACACCTTATTGGGTGAAATACCCTCAGCAAATCTACTAAACAGAAGCGACCGCCTCACAGAAAACCCAAGGGAAACCAACACCGAAATACCTTCAAAACGAAACCGACTAAGAGGGAACAGGAAAGAACGATAGATACAGCACCCCTCTATCAACGAAACTCGCAATTAACCAAGCAAACAGCCAAAACGCATCCAAATGAAGACAGATTCAAGAAGAAACTCACAACGGAGGTCTCTCACAGAGGAGAGAGTTCTTACCGTATGTTGAGTGTGTTTTTGTTTTGGGGTCATTCAGTCTTTTTGCATGTGACAGAAGGTTAGAATTCAAAGAGGGCAAAAGTGTTTTGAGTTCCCGTTCTGATACCGCCCGCGCCGTCTCACTCACACGTTCACCCCCGTGAGTTTCCTCGACCCCACCTCGTCCAGCTTGATTCGCCCAGGTAAGTTACTGTAGCTACTACCTTCCTCATCGTAACTCCATTTTAGTAAGACCCAGAAGCTAATTTGGGCAATTTCGTTACTGATTCGATGTTTTGTGCACAAACGCTCTTGCTCTTCATCTTCTCGACCAGAAAAAAAAAAGCTCAACAGGTTCTACTTCCTCTCGCATCTCTCTCTCAATAAAGTTTACATCTTTGTATTGAAATGCATGCCAACTTTTCTGGGCTCTGTTTATTTTCTATTTTTGAGCTCACGATTCAGCTGCCTTGGAATGTGATATCTGATATCTGGGCAGTTCTGGTTTGTTGTTGGATTACACAAAACTGCAGTTTTATGATCTGGGTTTCCTTTGTTTTGCATGACTGAATCAATATATGATTGTTTTTTTATTAGACTCTCTGCAGATATTCCATTTTGTTAGTAGACATAGTTTTTGCTACTAATTGTGTCCTTATCAATGCACGTATCTGATATTTTATTTGTTTGAATCCTCTTTTGTTCCATTGTCGATTTTCTTGATGCTTCAATTGTGTCTCTTTTGCTATTACTTTTTGTTTGATTGATTATAATTTTGTAAAGTATTGTTTGGCAGTTTTTAGTACCAATTCTTCAACTAAATGTGTACGGAAACGCTAAAATATTATTTGTTTTACCATACCTATGCACAGCAATTTTTGAATCAAACGTATGTGTTTTAATGTTTGGTGTTTGATTCAACAGCTATTTCAAAGTGCTACAATATTCTCTTGGATTGTTTTAGTATATTTTTTTAAAAAAATTTCAGGTAAAAAAAACGAACTGAGCCCAAACCGAACTAGAACTGAACAAAAAACCGAAAGGCACCGAACCAAACCAAACTGAACAGTAATTTCAGTTTGGTTTTAGATTTCGGCAAAAAATCAAACCAATTGGAACCGAACTCACCCCTAGTGAAGTCCATCCGGAGAGAGAGAGAGAGAGAGAGAAAGAGAGAGAATGGCTTGCAATGCAAGTGTAGTCCACCAAGCAATGGCATCCGCCATAGCACAGCCTAACAAAGCTCCTCCTCCACCCTCCTGTGCACATCTTTCTTTGTCTTCCAATTCAAAGTCCAAGCCTTTCAAGCTCCTTCGATCCTCCCAATATTCTTTCGCGTCCACCTTCTCCCCCTCTCGCCCGCAAACCGTAGTTCCCTTTTGTCCCAGCAGAGTTCCCAATTTCCTGGTACGCATTTACCCTCCCACCACAATTTCTTGTTTTATTTGTTTTTTTATTAATTTTTTTATTATTATTGTTTAATAGGTTGTAGGGTGTGGCAAGGCGGAGATTTAATAGATATGCACATAAAGCAATTGATTGATTTTGGATGATTGTATGCGTAATGTGTGTACCTTTGTGACGCTAAAATTTGAGGCCGGAGAAGTTTTCAAATCTTAATGAATGTATGCCATTGTTTACTTATGTTACTACTTGCCACTTTATGTCATGATTTTCTCATGACGAAAGCAGATTGAATCGAGTCATCCTCCTATCTGCAGTATGGTTTAGTGCATGTTGCTGCTGGAGATTTACTTAGAGCGGAAATTGCATCTGGGAGTGAAAATGGAAGGCGTGCAAGGGAGTACATGGAACAAGAAAAATTGGTTCCAGATGAAATAGTTGTCATGGTGGGGAAAATATAATTATTTGTGCTGACATATCGTCATGCTAGTGATGATTTCTTGGTTTTAATCCTGTAGATGGTGAAAGACCGCCTATTGCAGCCAGATTCTCATCTCAAGAAAAAGGTTGGCTTTTATATGGGTACCCTAGGAGCTCATCGCAAGCAATTGCTCTTAAGGAATTAGGCTTTAAGCCGGATCTTTTCGTTCTTCTTGAAGTAAGGGATTTGTTTTTGCTGCTGTTGATGTTTCATTATTGTTCTGGAACACTGTACACACATCCGTTTTTGTCTTCCACATACCCGTTTTTATTTCCCATAAATTCCTTGTTAATTTCTATCTTTTAATCTTCTCCAATTCATTTGATACGACTGCCGAAAATGATGTGTGAGAGATAAAAAGAGATTTGTAGATAGCACCACACTATTTGTTTTTGTGAGCATTATGTTAGGTATTTATTATACTTTTTCTTCCTTTTCAGTCTTAATTTATTAGGTATTTCTTATCAATTTATATTAAATATATTAGCTGCAGACAATGTATTTGTATACTTTTCCTCCAATTTGACTTTGTTCTTGAATAAAAAAATAACATTCAAAGCTAAACCAGCAAATGCCAAAAGATTAAGGAAACAAAAAAGTCCAATATATGCATAAAATTTGGAAAAATGAAAAGAAAATGTATGGTTTTTGCTCAACAACAATTGACGATGCTGTCGCACCATTACATCGTCACGTAGATTCAGTCGTGGAACTGGAACGAGAGCGAGAAGGGCGTTCCAAAAAATAAGCCGACGCTGTTTCCAAGATACTTACAATGTAAGTCATGGATGGCCTGTTACAACCTTGTAAACTTACACAGTCCGCTGCCAAGTAGCCAACATATGCTACTGCCTGTATTTCAAACGGCGTTGGAGCTGCCATTCTTGGATCCAAAATCCGGTGTATCTCGTCGCTCACAATGTACGGCACGGCAAAATCAACAATGTTTCTTGGCATCCCGTTCTCATTTTTGTGTACTGCGTTGTAACCGGATAACAATTCAAGCAACACCACTCCGAAGCTATAGACGTCACTCTTGGTCGTTAGGTGTTGAAGCCTGTAGTACTCTGGGTCGATGTACCCAAATGTGCCAGCTGCACCAAGCGAAGGGTGCGACTCTTCATCCTCCGGCCGCATTAAAGACAGGCCGAAATCGGATACCTTGACCCCTAATGTGTCATCCAGTAGTATGTTGGATGACTTAATGTCGCGGTGTATGATTGGCGGGACTGCATACTCGTGCAGGTACTCAATCCCTCGGGCTGCGTCAAGAGCCACTGTGATGCGCTTGGCCCATGAGAGCAAAGGCGAATGTGGGAGCTTGTGGAGATGGTCATGGAGGGAGCCATTGTTCATGTATTCGTACACGAGTATTCGCTCTTTTGCATCCTCGAAGAATCCAAGTAATCGAACCAAGTTCTTGTGGTTGAGGCGTGAAAGGGACTCAAGCTCGTTTACAAAAGCGTTGTCGTTGTCTTGCTGGCGCTTTGTGCAGCCACCAACGTATGATGAAGAGACTGACGTCTCAGCACGCTTGATGGCTACTTGGCGACCGTCATCTAATGTGGCGTAGTAGACAGAACCGTAGCTGCCTGTTCCGATTTTATTTTCTTCAGAGAAATTGGAGGTGGCTTCGAGTAGTAGTTGCAGTGGAAATTCCTCCAAGGAAGCTCCATTGGCGCCCATGCTCACCACATGGCTTAGCCGCTTCTCTAACACTGGTGGCCCTGCCGTTGCAGCTGCACCTTGCTCGGCTTGTAATTGGGGCTGCTCATCCAAGGGACCCGAGTCATGAACACGGGATCCTCCAACTCTAGTTTTGCAATACTTGAACACAAAGAAACATACCGACAGCACCAAAGCTAAGAACCCAACACAACCCACTATAAGAAAAGCAATCATTTTTTTGTTCCACTTACTGCTTCCTGATTTTGATGGCGGCGATGGCAAGGGCATGGGCACTGGCAATGACACCGGCAACTTTTCATCATCATATTGACAAGGTTGGCAGACTTGATATCCTTGTTCACAGAATCTACCATAGCCTGGCAATGGATTGCTGCATGGTGGACATTCACTTGTACATGGACCCGGCTTCACATCACGTCCGAATACCAGGAAATTGTTTGAGACATCGAAAATTGGGTTGCCCCAACAATACAAGGAAAAGTTGGATGATGAAACTCCACAGAAGACGCTGCGTTTTGCTTCAATTGCAGTGAAGTAAGTACCTTTCAGAGTCTCAGGCAAACTGAAATTATTTTCCCCCCAACAGACAACTGTTCCATTAGGCCGGAGAGCACAACTACGGTTTTCTCCCAAGGCCAGAGATGTGAATCTCCCTTGAGGTTTCTCACCCTTCATTTCTCCCCAGCAATCCAAACTGTTATCGACCAATGAGATGGCACACGCATGACCGAAACCTGCACTCACTGCTTTGTAAACATTCCTGCCACCAGCTCTAGGCTCCTTCCCAACCACTATATAATTGCTTCCTAAGCAAGTAACCTTTCCGATTTGTGATACCCCGCATACAAAATTTTCTCCCACCGCAATGCTTGAAAATCCGTACTCGTGTCTACTGATCCTGCTATTGTGAAACCAATGCCATTGCCAGCATTGGAGGCGACTACGAGTACTAGTCGTCCCATTCTGAATAAGTCCGCAAACGTGAGAATTTCCGGCAACAAGTTGCGTGAGAGGTGGACCGCGGTAGATGCGCTTGTGGGACAAGTGCGTGCCATTAGCTGAGAACCTCCAGCAACTCAAAGTAGAATTAGTATTGGAAGAGGAAGAAGATGGTGGGGGCCTCAAGGCGCATAAGAAGCCATCTCCGGCAACTAGAGCAGTGAAGGAAGCAGAAGCATTCCTGTTGAAAGGAATTTGAATGCCGCCGCCTCCCCCATTGCTTCCACTTGCAGTTGTAGGAAACTTAAAACCAGTACAATTGAGAAAGGATTTCTCGTTTTGGGGATGTATGAGTGCACAGATTAATGTCTGATTAGAAGATTCAGAAATCGACACGGCGGAGTAGGAGAGTGAGTGCGGAAGGAAAGTAAGCAAGGAGAAGGTGATGAGGAGAAGGATTAAAGAATAAAAAGCAGCAGCCATGTCGGCAGAGAGAGATTTGATAGTCAAATAATTGGGGGGCGGATGCAGAAAATTTCATTGGAGAGGAAGGAGCAGAAGGAGGATTAGAGACATGGAATAGGTTAATTTTGTGGTGTCAACTTCAGTTTAAACGTGTAGAAGGTGGACGAGTAGGGGAGAGAAGACCAAGACCAGAATCATCACACGGTTTTGAGAGAGTTTTTGAGGACCAAAGACTAATTCTAGAAAGAGAGACCAGAGTGGGAGTGGTGGAAAAACCGGATTGTGTTTCCGTTACACTGAAAAATCTCTTCGAGCGTGTGAGTCAGAGACTCAATTACGTCTAACTCAACAAAGGATAGTCTTGCTTGCTAAGCTTGATCAAAATAGGAAAGCAAACTTAATCTGAGCTAGTAGAAGAAGAAGCAGGAAAGACTTTTAATCCTGCTAAGAATAGGACGAACAACTGTCAAAACTTAATCTTATTTACAAATAGGAAAGCAATAAAATATGAGAGCTGCTTGGTATTACAGTTGAATGAAATATTTACGTTTATAAGTGAGTAATTCTAACTTTGAATCTTATAAATGATGAGTTTGTAATCAATTTACTTTGATATAAATATATTAATGTATTTCTAAACAATCACATCTGAACAAACTCTATAATTTTGTTTTTCAACTAAATATGTAAAATCACGTCAACAAAACAAGCTCCAGCATCCTCTTCAAAGGTAAATGTCAAACTTGGTAGCTCATTCTCTCTACAAATTTACAGACCTCTTTCTCACTCTTCAACTTAAGTTTTTTATTATTACAAAATCAAATATTGTGTTACGTAGCAGACTTGGAAGAAGACAAAATTTTATGAATATAATGATGAATAAAGAACAATAAAATAATCAAATTTCAAAAGTCAATTGAAGATGCTTTTTCTTCTTCTTCTAATGTAGAAATCATACTCATAACACGCACGTTCACGTGTGATGAATTTTTAAACTTTACACATGGACAACATAAATTATATGACGTTGTTCAACACAAATTATGTGACGTTGGGCATCACACAGGAGCAAACTAAGGCATGTATATAATCTCTCTCTCTCTTGTCTAGTATAATCTGAACTATTGACGTTTCGGTTTTCCACTTGGAAAAGAATTGAGTGAGTTTTGCCACCTCAATTAGAATTTGGCTGCACTGTGTCACCTATGGTCTACCTTCCGCCTATTTTTTCCACCAAAAAGTTGCGCAAGTTTCGCAGGTCAGCCTTTTTTAAGGGTATTCACTATTTTGAGTTCTAATTTATCGGTACAAACTCTGTTGAAAGGGTTATGTGAGAAGTACATGCAATTCTTTGGAAGAAAAGAAGAATAAAGTGTTGTAAAAATTGTGAAAATGTTTACCTATATGCTTTAGCTAATAGTGAGGAAGACTTGAGAAGAGCTATGTTGTTGATATTTGAGGTTTTTCAAAGGACAATCATTTCATTTTTTGTAAACCTTCACGGATGTGGCTTTATATAAAAAGCACTCCATGTGTGATAACAATACACATCAAAGAAAAGAAGTGAAAGCAATAATATCATTATCTCTCCCTTCCTCTTTTTACTTGCAATCCTTTTGTGTTATAGTTACGAAACTAAACAGTGTGATATTTTGCACCCGTTTCGCTCTTGTCCCTAGCAAAGGTTATCTCTCTAACTTCTGCCTATTTATAACACGTTATCAACACGACTCTCTAACCTTAACCAGTTCTCATCTCCCTTCGTCGAAAAATGCTTCCTCCAAGGATTTTACTATTCTTCTTCCTCCTCTACCTCACTTGCTTGATGTACCCTCGCCAAGATCTGCTAGCACCGTGCCTGCTCCTAGTTCTCAAAATTACAATTACTTATATTTTTGATTTCTTGTTTGGTGTAGCTCCTGATTGCTAACCTAGTGTTTATTTATGTTAATTTTGCTGTGATCAAAGATGGTGTGATACAATCGCCCATCTTGAATTGCAGATTTAATGTTACTGCAATTTTAAGTGGTGCGGTATGATCGCCCATCCTATGCCATATTGTTTCAATGAGAGTGGTGCGGTACAATTGACATATATATGAAAGTCCCAGAAGGACTTAAGTTGCCTGAAACGACTAACAAACCACGAGGTATGCTCTCAATCAAATTAAGGCGATCATTATATGGGCTGAAACAATCTGTACGAATGTGGTATAATCGTCTCATTGAGTATTAGATCAAAGAAAGATATACCAACAATGTCATTTGCCCTTGTGTGTTCATTAAAAAATCAAATTCTGGATTTACTATAATGGCAGTATATGTCGATGATATGAACTTAGTTGGAACCCTTGAAGAGCTCAATAAAACTGCTGAATATCTGAAAAATGAATTTGAAATGAAAGACCTTGGAAAAACAAAATATTGTCTCGGCCTGTAGATCGAACATTGTGCTAATGAAATTTTGGTCCATCAATCAGCTTACATTAAAAAAATCCTGAAGCGATTTGGCATGGACAAGGCTTATCCACTCAGCACGCCAATAGTCGTTCGTTCTCTAGACAATAAGAAATATTCATTCCGTCCAAAAGAAGATGATGCAATGGTCCTTGGTCTAGAAGTACCATATCTAAGTGCAATAAGTGCTTTATTGTATTTAGCACAATGTATTAGACCAGATATAGCTTTTTCAATCAACTTGTTAGCAAGGTATTGCTCTGCTCTAACAATTCGTCATTGAAAGGGAGTCAAAGATATTTTACAATACCTTCATGGGACAACATACATGGGTCTCTTCTACTCAGAGAAATCCACAAATGACCAGATCCTTGTCGGATATGCAGATGCTGGTTTTCTCTCTGATTCGCATAAAGCCCGCTCACAAACTGGATATGTGTTCACTAATGGTGTTACATCAATCTTATGGTGCTCAACAAAGCAAACATTAGTTGCTACATCTTTCAATCACTCAGAAATACTTGCCTTACATGAAGCAAGTCGTGAATGTTCTTGGTTAAGATCAATGATCCATCATACCTGGAATTCATGTGGTCTACCTTCAAAGACAGACACTTCAACTGTCATTCATGAAGATAATGCAGCATGTGTTGCCCAAATGAAGGAAGGATTCATCAAGAGCGATACGACTAAATACATATCTCCAAAGTTTTTCAGTGCACATGAGCTTCAGAAAGCTAAAGTTATTGAAGTTAGACAAATCCGTTCCAATGAAAATCTGGCAAATCTATTCACCAAATCTCTACCAAAGTGCACGTTTTAGAAGATAGTGCATGGTATCATATTACATTGACTAACCAATCAGTTAAATTTGAAGAACGCGGAATCAAGGGGAGATACATATCAGGAGGAGCATCCATGATACATGCATGTTGTACTCTTTTTCCTTCGACTATGATTTTTTCCACTGGGTTTTTCCTATCAAGGTTTTAACGAGGCAACATAAGCATACTTCACACTATATCAACAATCCAAGCAAAGTTGTACTCTTTTTCCTTAGCTACGTTTTTTTTCCCACTTGGTTTTTCTGAGGAAAGTTTTAACGAGGCAACTGATGTTGATATGTGGGTATCCAAGGAGGAGTGTTGTAAAAATTGTGAAAATGTATGCCCACATGCTTTAGTTAATAGTGAGGAAGACTTGAGAATAGTTGTGTTGTTGATATGTGAGGTTTTTCAAAAGACATTCATTTCATTTTTTGTAAACCTTCACTGATGTGGCTCTATATAAAGAGCACTTAGTGTGTGATCACAATACACAACAAAGAGAAAAAGTGAAAGCAATAATATCAGTATCCCTCCCTTCCTCTTTTTACATGCAATCCTTTTATGTTATATTACAAAACTAAACAGTGTGATATTTTGCACCCGCTTCGCTCCTGTCCTTAGCAATGATTATCTCTCTAACCTTTGCCTAGTTATAACATAAAGTTAGTTGTGGGTTGCCCATTGCAATAAAATTTAAAAATGAGGTGGGTCACTCAATTCTCTCTGTCCGGGTTGAAATTTGCAGCTAGACCTAAAATACAGGTGCTATTGGTGTAATTTGCCTTTTATATTTTAACTTCTGCTGGCAACCGTTGGGACGAGATTGCATAATGTATGATGAAAATACTGTATTCATTTGATTGCGGATTATCGACATTCACTGTGTTATATAACTTGGAGCGTACTTCTGTTGGCTTCAGATTAATGGAAGTGTTGCCAAGGAGGATGTGTTTGCCGAAATCGACAGTGCGCTGACGAGACTTGTTGAGAAAAGAAAGGCGACTTCGGAATCTCTGGCGGCATAGAAGGTGTAGTGCTCCTATTCTCACAAGTTTATATAGTTCCAAGTCAGTAATTTGTGCACAATTTGGTTGTAGGGATATGCTTGCAATGTCCTGCAAAGGAAAACACAACTTCTACATGTCCTGTGGAAAGATCGGCCCAAAAAATGAAAATAAGTAAATTACACTCTGGACCACTGTTATTTTCAAGGATATCGTGAATCAAAATTGGAGTAGTATGGAGAAATATTGTTCTTTGTTTTTTTTCCATACAACGGTCGCGTTTATTTTAAATTTCTTAGAGAGAGTGGGTCAATCATAATTAGGTAAATTACATTAAAACTTTCAAGAATCATAGTTTGGTACGATTTTTTGGTAACATACGGGGGTGCACAACCTCAAAACTAGCCCAAAAGCTATAACAAACAAGGAGAGTCCTAGGGACGTAACATATCGTCAAATAAATTATATTGATACACAATAATCCGTATTATAACAATATAACTCCAATTTGTAAGGTCATCTGCAACTACGTTTTTCTTTTGGTACATGTTAATTAAACGTCTCATGTACAACCTAGTTGCATCGCTCAAGGATGTGAAGATAAGAACGGTTTAGGGCTTTGTTTTGTTCAAGTAATGAAGATTGAAAAGATTGGTAGCTTTATTTGTTTGGATGGTGCTATCCACACACCAATTTTTGTCTTTCACATACTTGTTTTTATTTCCCACACATTCCTTGTTATCTTCTCCAATCCATTCGATCTGATTGCCGAAAGGAGTGTGTGAGAGGTAACAAATGATGTGTAGACAGCACGACGTTGTTTATTTTTGTGAGCATTATATTAAGTATTTATTAT